AATCCTTGTCACAGCATGGATAAATATGCATATTATCATAATGTGGATAAACATATCAGATTTGGATTAAGGAAGAACAATCAATATAATAAGTGATTGTTTTTGTAGCAGACATATTCATTAGGTTTAAATCCTTCTTTAGCCTTTACTCTTCAGATATTTTAGATTGCAACTGCCAAAATTTCCAAGCAATCCCATCACACCAAAATGAAGATGTAAGATCAAGGTTATCAAAATATGTTTAATTGTTTAAGATGAGTATGATTCCATCACTATTCAGTAAGAAACAGTAGGATTTCTCCTTCTGCTCCTTCGGGCAGTTTATAATAGCAAGTGTTGTAAGGGTTGTAAAAGATCGGTACATGATAGTAGAGATTATGTGAATCTTTCAGAGAAGTCTGCAAAACCAGCAAAGAATGTTAAAGGCTAAGACATTTATGTGTGTCTTGATTTGGTCATCCTTATACATTTGTTAGCTTAAGAAAAATCCTTTGGTAAACAGTTGGGTGCTGCTTTATCTGAGAGAACTGAGAGGCTGGTAGGTATCATCTTGACAGATAAGAAGGATAAAGAGTTCTCTAGTACAAAGTAATAGCAAGCAACAAATCTAACATGCAGAAATCAATGTTCTCTCTTTATCTTGAAGTCACAAAGTGAAGAAATAACCATGGCTGTATTAAAGAGAATAATTGTGCAAGTACACACAAACATGAGCATAGGCTGTAACAACATGCACCTTAAACTACAGACTAACTACATTTTAGCCTTGTATTATATAGACTCACTCAATGTGATCAGTTTATGATTTGACCTATTACACAACTGAGAAAAACTGAGCTGAGTAAACCATGATTCAACATGACTAATCATATTATGCAAACATTACAGATTCAGGCTAGTTCCCCCTGGAAGACTCCTAAGAGCTGCCAGCCCCCCCCCCCCCATTGTGCAGCTCTTCAGTTTTTTATTCCTTAACATAGGAAAAACTAGAGAAAATGCAAAATGGGGTTATTGTGCTTTCTATCATGGATAGATGAGACAAAATCATTACATAATACAAGACTAAATCTGGAAGCATCAGTGAAGATTCTCCAATCCATTTAGGAACCCCACTGTCATGAGACGCAAAGTGATCTTTGTTACTTTTCTTTTTTTCCAAATGCTCTACTGACAAATCCCACTTCAAACATTGCTTTTGCAGATTCCTGTAGGCCTCTGATGGAGAAATAGGGGCCAGGGACAACACATCTGTCAATCTGGACCTCATTTCTCAACTGCAGAGGCCTTTCCTGAAGGCCATCTCTGCAAGGTGTCAATGGAAGACATCTCCCAAAAATAAGACCTGGTGCCGTTTTTGGTGGCAAAAAAAATCAAGACTGGGTCTTATTTTTGGGGAAACATAGCTATATAGACATACAGAGAATTGGGTTTACCAGCTGCTTTTGGACAATTATTATATATCAATTTACTGAAATAGAATAGAAACAAAATATCAATTGCAGCTAATATTTTTAGATTTTTCCAAATAGTTTATTTCTTAATTTGTACATTTGTGATATTGTTCATGTTTTGGAAATTTGAAACATTGCACAACATTTATGTCATAGTGCCATACTTTTTGGTCAATGGACAGATTTGGAATTTTGAACATTCTCAAAATTGCTGCTGTGATTACTGAATCTAACCAGTTAGCTGAGAAGTCAAATTGTAGATGACATGTTCAATCATACTCAGGCTAATCAGTACATGTCAAAGCTTTGATAAATAGCATGAAAATGTATGCCATCGGAGATTACCACAAGTAAAATTCACCTCTATCAGTATACGATCACACTATTGTAGAATTAATTCATTACGTAAATTCATTCATGTAACAAAGAGGTTGAGACTCTAGAAAGAGTGCGAAGAGCAACAAAGATGATTTGGGAACTGGAGGGTAAAACATATAAAGAACAGTTGCTGGGATTGGGTATGTCTACTTTAATGAAAAGAAGGACTAGAGGAGACATGATAGCAATGTTCCAATATCTAAGGGATTGCCATAAAAAAGAGAGAGTCAACTTATTCTCCAAAGGACCTGAAGGCAGGACATGAAGCAATGGATGTAAACTAATCAAGGAGAGAAGCAACCTAGAAGTAAGGAGAAATTTCCTGGCAGAACAATTAATCAGTGGAACAGGTCAAGTCCAAAATTTTGAATGCTCCAACACAAGTTTTTAAGAAGAGATTGGATAACCATTTAACTGAAATGTTATAGGGTATAGGGCAGTGATGGCTAACCTTTTTCTAAAGGTGTGCCAAAATTGTGCATGTGCATGCTATCCCATGTGGACGCATGCCCACCCACCTGCACATGCGTGCATGACCCCCACACCTGCTCATGTGCACATGAACCCCTGTGCATGTGCACATCGCCTCCCCGGGCAGGGGCGGGGAGTTTTCGCCCACCCCAGGCTCCAGAGGCCTGGGGTGGGAGAAAATAGCCTCTTCCGATCCTCCGGAAGGCTGAAAATCAGCTGGCCAGTGCACACATGTGCACCGGAGCCGAGGACTGCCGTGCCGGCAAATCTGGGTCCGCGGCCACCTGTGGAATGTGTGCCATAGGTTCGCCATCATAGGTATAGGGTTTCCTGCCTAAGCAGGGAGTTGGACTAGAAGACCTTCAAGGTTGCTTCCAACTCTATTCTATTCTGTTCTGTTCTATTCTATCCTATCCATTATTTTGCAAGTGATGTCAAATCAACGAAGTTCATAAGAGGAAGAACCCCCCCCCCCAAAATGAAGTAGTATCTTTTTAGAAAAGTCTATGACCAACACAACAGAAATCCCGACAATTTCTGTATGATAAAGACATGAATAAAAAAATCAAATCTCTTATAAACATCCCACTGTTTTCCAACAATCCATTGCAACCAGTTTTTTTAATCTATTTAGTTTTATAATTTTACTTTGGTTTTTTTTGTACTTTTGATCTGCTTATCAGACCAGCAACTTTACCTGCACTTTAAAATATGAAAGAAATGTTAAAGTTCTGTGTGTTTTGTTTGTATTTACATGTTTGTTTTAATATTAGTATCTATTATTATATCTGTTTTTAATGTCTACGCTGTCTCAGGGATGAGTGGAATGACCTATCATATAGTATACATATTTTAAATAATAATTTGATATTACTTGCTTTGTAATATATTAGTGTCATAAGTGGCATAAGGCATGACCACAATATCCCTGATGTTGATTTTCATGGCTAAATCAGACAGTGGGAGTTAACACCAAGAGACAGAACAGCAAGTGTGTGTTAGCTGATCAGATGCTCTCCTGCTGGATAGAGAAATCTAAAGTAAACTACCGTAAGCCACCAGATGGTTCACTAAATAGAGCATCTATCAAAAACCAATCAGAGATTAAACATGTTCTTATTACTGACATTTTACCACAACCTAACAGTAGCAGATGGCAACCTTCCAGAATGTTATTTAAAAGTCATCCACCAGACCTAAGAACTTGATTATTAGCTATCACATAGCATGTAACAGCTAATGCTGAAAACAGAATCCAGAAATTCCTTATTAAATCGCTCTGATGTTAACAGGATTATATTTGCATTTAAATGTATGCTTTCCTACTGTAAATCCTATTATGACTCCTAATCCGCTGTCCAAATCAGAATTGTCAAGCTTATGTACATAACAAAGCAGATAAAAAGTAGAAGAGCCAGTTATAGTCACCAAAAAGACAATTTACTGCACAATAAAGTGGCAGGGAGCCATTTTCATATTGACCAGTGCTAATGACAAAACATTTCTGATTTTGCTTCAAGTTAAAAAGAAAAATATATATGCAGTCTGTTCATTAAAGGAGCAATTATTTTTTTCATACAAAAAGTTACAACTGCTACAACTGTTATTGGTCATATTAATTGTACCAATTTATTCTAACATCTAAAACTTCTGACTCACCAAATACAGGTAGTGCTCGACTTACGACCGCAACTGAGCCAAAAAATTCTGTTGCTAAGTGGGACATTTGTTAAGTGAACTTTGCCCCATTTTATGACCTTTCTTGTTAAATGAATCATAGCAGTTACTAAAGTTAGTAACACACAGCTTTAAGTGAACCTGGCTTCCCCGTTGACTGCTTATGAGAAGGTTACACAAGGAGATCACATGACCCGGGACACTGCAACCGTCATAAGTACGAGTCAGTTGCCAAGCATCTGCATTTTGATAACATGACCATGATGATGTTGCAATGGTTGTAACTTTTTTTCAGTGCTATTGTAATTTTGAACAGACACTAAATGAACTGTTGTAAGTCAAGGACTACCTACCTGTGATCATGTTCTTAAAAATTGCCACCATAGAACCAGAGCAACGGAATCAACGTACTGTATTTTTAGAAGTATAAGATGCTTCGGAGTATAAGGCACACCTTAGTTTTTGCAGAGGAAAATATGAAAAAAAATTCTGCCTCTGCCTACCAGCATCCATAGTATTCAGCTGACACATAGTAACAAGGTCAGCCAATGAATAGGAGTAGCAATTAAGTCAGCCAATGAGGGCTATTTGGACTCTGAAATTTGCTGTGTGAGCAAGGAGACAGGAAGGAGCCTGGTTTAGCCCAGAACTGAAAGTGAAACTGCTTGTGTTTTGCTTGTATTTACTGCTACCTTGGAAAACCTACTTTTGGTAATGTATTGTATATTATTATTTTGAATCCTGCTGAATCAGTTACTGTGCTTTCTGATTGTGATTGCTGCTGCAAACTGACCAGCCAGGTCAGCTTCAGCACTTATTGCAGCCTGATTCAGTACAGCTGATTGATGGGTGGATAGGACTGCCAGAATACCCCCAATCAGCTGTTCTAGGCTGCAGGGATTGCCACAGACCATCGCTGCCTCCAGGCCTTGTATTTTTGGCCTCTGGTGAGGGTGGGTGGGGCTACATTCAATGTATAAGACGCACCAAATTTTCATCCTCTTTTTTGGGGGGGAAAAGGTGCGTCTTATACTCCAAAAAATACGGAATGTAATTTAGGCGTCAATCCAATGCATGCTTTTCAACTAGAATGTCTTAGTGGGACCTACTTTTGAGTACATAAACCAAGTAGATTTTCAGCAGTTGACCATGTGTGACAAACTCCTGTGTGTTGTCTCCATAATTATTTGTGTTTACCTATTCAAACATTGGTTTATGCTCATTAATCTAGGAACATATCCTAATGAAAGTTGTGGGACAGCTAACAATATTATCTAACCAACTGGCTTACAAGGCTGTTCATGTATTTATGAGGCTGTTCATAATTTATCTGCCCATGTGGACAAGACTGGATTTCCCCCTCTCTTTGGCACTTCTGAGATTTGCTCTTAACTATCAGGCAACTTGAGAAATACATAAAGAAGACAGCAAAGGAAGCTCCTCACTTTGTAAGTGCAAGAATCCTGATGTGACACACAATATAAACAATATGAAGTACAGTTGAACTTTGTTGGGTTGTGGATTTTAGAAAATGTGTGTCAAGAAAACAGTTTATTTTCAGATTTTAATGAATATAGTTTCTAAAAATCACAGTCTGAGACAAATACATTAAGGCTATTCAAAAATGTTCTGGATTAACAGCTTTGATTTTAAAATTGTGACAATTGCATTATTTGCATAGATTATTTTAAAAGTAAAAACACTTAATATTTAAATAATATTCATTCTTTGATCATATTATTCAATTTTACAGATGATTCTGCAAAAATCATCCATCCCAAGCAGCAAGACAGAGAGAGCAAATTCAATCTTTGATCTGAAGTTTCCATCGCTTACTTAGCTTCTAGTTTAGAAACCTGTAAATTAGAAAGCACAGAATTATCTTTTGTCTAAAATGCTGTATTACATGCAACTTTGTTTTTATCAGAATCCCACCACTACAGCTATGTTTTCTAAGCAAAAGAGGATTGTGTGATGAACAAATTTCAACAAGTGCTAAATCTTCTCTATTCCAAACTACACCTTTCCTAATATGCTTTGACAAGCAGCAGAACCTGTTGGGAAAGCTTAAACACACATTTGTTTACTACATCTAGTTAGATTGTAACAAAAATGAGAAGGAAACTTTTAACAATTGGTGTTAATCTAAAAGCAGGGTAAAACTCAGCTTCCAAGAAAAAAACATAAGCATCATTAAATAATTATTACAACGTATTACAATAATTAACAAGGGGATTCAAACTTATTATCAGGCCATTGTTCATCCCTCCTCTCCCTTGTTAGAAATACAAGTGGTCCTTGATTGACAGTGGCAATTGGGAACTTCCATTGCTAAGCAATGCAGTTGTAAAGCATGATATCACATGACCAAGCCACTTAGCAACAGATGTTCCAGCACTTCTGGTTACCATCATAAAGGGAATCATGAGTTGTTAAGTGCAAAATAACATGGTCACCATTTCTGACCTCATTTTGGCTTATCCATTGATGTGGTTTATTGGAAGTTTGCAAATGGTAATCCTGTGATGGCCGGATGCTGCGATATTGTAATGGTCTAAGCACCCATATCATAATCATGAGATTATGGGATGATGCAACCTATACAAGTAGAATGTGAGCTCTACAATATAAGTACTACCACTTGGTCTGCACTGTCATAAATTTAAAAGGTCACTGAACCAACCTGATCAGTTGTTAATCAGCATTTGTAATCAACTCACACCATTATTTTTCTATGATAATGTCTCACATGATTTGGACATATTGAAAGAAGCCTACATGCCAACAGAGTCTAATTAAAAATAAACAAACATTTACAGTCATAACACTGAACCATAACCACACAGCCTGATCCACCTGTGACTTTACAACACGTGCAGCAGACAGAAAAAATACCAATCTGCTACTTCCTTATAAGCATAAGGACTCCTACGTACAGTATTACCACAGTACTAAAATGTAGGTAGTCCTTGACATATGACCACAATGGAGCCAAGAATTTATGTTGCTAAGTGAGACATTTGCTAAGTGAGTTTTGCTCCATTTTATAGCTTTTCTTGCCATTGTTGTTAAATGAATCGTGGCAGCTATTAAGTTAATAACACGGCTGTCACGTGAAACTGATTCCCCCATTGACTCTGCTTCTCAGAGGGTTGCAAGAGGGGAATCGTGTGACCGTGGGACATTGCCAACGTCATGGCTATGAGTCAGTTGCCAAGCGTCCAAATTTTGATCACATGACTGCGATGGTTGTTAAGTGTGAAAAATGGTCATCAGTCAATTTTTTTCAGTGCCGTTGTAAGTTTGAACAGTCACTAAATGAACTGTTGTAAGTCAAGGACTACCTATAATAGCCTCAACTACTCATATGATAGAATAATAAGACACCATTTCCAGAGGACAAGGATAATAGATTCAGGTCCAATACAGGAGCAATTATTGTCATTCCTACAACGACGTTTCTTTCTCTTCACCAGTTCTTACATATTTGGATGGGCAGAAAACATATTAGCCTATATACAGTATATCTTCCAAAACATTCATGGTGTTCTTTATTTAGAGTTCCTGCCATGTGGGCATTCCAGATAATCCATGTCTCTACCTTTGCAGCCATTACTCAAATTATGTCTGCTTCCTACTGCAAGTTACAAGTTCAGCATGATTACTGTGGGTACAAAGAGGAAAATCTTTGCATGTGCAGCTAGAAGCACAATGACTTTTATGTTCAGCACCCTTTGTTTAGTCTAGAAGCAGTTGAGTAAGCAATTCTATATATCTCGTAAGTTAGTGTGTCCAATTGTTCCTTTTCCCAAAAGAGCAGTGGAGAAGGTGGGGACAAATGAGTGGCCTCTTATTATAGGAACAAATAGATCTAAAACTGCGAGTACTGTAAGTCCTAGCTGGGAAGTTGTTGCTCAAAGCCTTAGTAATGCTAGAAGTAAAATGAGATGGTCTTCCATGACTACATTAGTCATAGGTTGGCATTAAAAGCCATAAAATAAAGAAAACAGTCAACAGTAGAAGATTAGGAAGAATAAGGTCTTTGCCAAGTACAGGAAAATAAGCATCTGCATTTCAGTACATGCAGATCAGAATTACTAGTTTAGTTCCTCCTTCTCAAACAAGAAAAATATCACCTACCATCTTTTGTCATCCACTCTGCTGAAGATAACAGCTTAGCATGGGTGTTTTTTTATATAACCAAGCCTCCACATCCAATTATTAATAATACTACACAGTATTAATATCTGGCAAAGGCTAATAGCATAGAAAAAAACTAGTAATCAGGTACTAAAGCCTAGATTAATCTTGTCTATGTAAACAGTCCACAACCTGTTAGATGTCAAGGTCCTCTTTGAACATGATGGAGGAACATCATCATATCCATGATGGCAAACCTATGGCATACATGTCCAAAGTGGCATGTGAAGCTATGTCACCCGGCACATGTGATCTTGGCTGTCTGTCTTCTGGGTTTCTGGTGCACATGCGCGCGTGACAATCAGCTGTCCTGTGTGCAGACGGCATGCCAGCTGATTGTCGGAAGCGCATACGTGCCAGAACCCAGAAATTCGGCTTTTCCAGAGCACGATCCCTTTGCTTGCCCGGCAGTGCCGAAAACTGGCCTGCATATGCGTGCCGGCCAGCTGATCGTCGGGCGCACATGCACACTAGAACCCAGACATTCAGCTTTTGGTTCTCCATCACTGCTATATATTATGAACCCAGAAAGATTTTTTTAAATAATGTTGTCCATCAGCAAACCAATAAGATTTTTTTTTTACCTTCACAATGAATCAATACTATAAAAAAAATGATGGGGAAATTTTGCAATATCTTTTCTACAGGCATTAAAATGACAGGGACCACATAGCATATTTTAATCTTGATTTCCCAGGAAGTCAGATACAATTGCAATATTATCTGGCATTTCAGAGATGGGAATTAACATTTACTGCGTAGATAAACACATTATTGATACTAACCATGGTGCAACATTTTGGCAGGAAATACGTAGAGGGCCTAATATTCTGCTGTCCAGCAAAAGAATATTAACATTATGTCATTGCTGTGAATGAAAATCACAAACAAGCCACAATGACTAGAGATGCTTGATTTTCCACATCTGATGCTTCCGATGTTAAATAAAATCATAGCCATGGTTGTCATCATAGTTCAAAGCTAAATGGTAATGCAAACAGGACTTCAGTCCTACCATTTCATTAGAGCAAATAAATCACTTCAAATTTCCCCAGGCATTTGAAAAATAAAAATAAAATTGTATTTTATCTTGGCTGAGGTGATTATCATTTATTCGAATGTGAAAAAAATACCATGAAAAGTATAGAAGCAATAGCCTATGCATGAATGACCACTGTGGGAGGATCCTAAGCTACATCTGTGAAAATATTTACAGACCCCTCACATCCTGGATGTATACTGTTTCAACTTCTTCCCTCAAGACAATGCTACAGGGCACACACTCTAAAACAACCAGACAGTTTTTTACCCCATGCTATCACTGTGCTAAACAATTAATTCCCACAACACTGTCTAGGCCAGTGATGGCGAACCTATGACACGCGTGTCAGTGCTGACACGCGTAGCCATTTGGGGTGACACGCACA